TAGTCATGGCGCTTAGTGTCAAATATAAAGGAGGATTTATCGACGGTACTATCGTTCCTCCTACTGATACTAACTCTGCTTTATATGTTTCATGGTTGCGTGCAAACAATCTCGTTTTATCCTGGATTTTGAATTCAATCTGTAAAGATATTCGTCAATCTCTATTGTTTTTTACTTCTGCTAAGGATGTTTGGATTGAAATCAAAAATCGATATGCCCTTAGTAGTGGTCCTAGGGTTTTTCAACTTGAAAACTCACTAAGTACAATGGATCAGGGTACACTGTCTGTAACTTAGTATTATAATGCTTTCAAAGCTATGTGGGATGAGTATGTCACATATAGACCGGTTTTTCGTTGTACTTGTGGGGCATTTTCTAGCTGTACTTGTAATGTTTTTGAGTCTATGTCATTAGCTTAACAACAAGACTCTGTTATGAAGTTCCTCATTGGACTGAATGATTCTTATGCATCTTTGAGAAGCCATTTTCTGTTATCCACACCTCTGCCTTCTCTCACAAAAATATACAGCCTACTGCTCCAAGAAGAATCCCAGAAAAATCTTCAAAATACCTCAAATACCATTGATCCTATGGCAATGCTTGCTAAGTCTAACCATAACCCTCATCACACATATCATAAACCACCACATTTACTTGCTTCGATGTCGTAGTCCGATGTTCAGCATAAAAGACAGGAGAGCAAAGAGCCTTCCTTTTCCAAAGACAAGAAAAGACCAAAATGTACTCATTGTGGATACACTGGCCATACTGCTGAAAACTGCTATCAACTGATTGGTTATCCTTCCAATTGGGTTGGCCCTAAGGGTCCAAGAGCACCACTTAATCCTTCAGCGAATCTTCTTAATACATCAGAGTCTACTAATACTTCTTTCTTGACTAATGATCTCTTTAATGAGTTTTTAGCTTTTACAAAGTCAAAGGAACAATCAGGAGCTAATCATATACCTGTGATAGCTTCTGCCATTTCAGGCATGCCTTCTTCTTCAGGTATTCCTCATTATTCTCTTATGGCTTCCAAAACTTTAACTAAACAAACATGGATAATTGATACAGAGGCTACTGACCACATGATATGTGATATGTCATATTTTTCTAGCAAACCATTTCCTACAAATATAAACATCAATTTGCCTAATGGTCAGCATACTCAAGCATCTTATAAAGGACAACTGATTCTTAATGACCATTTACAATTACTTGATGTTTTATTTGTCCCAAGTTTTCACTTCAACCTCATCTCTGTATCTAAGATGGTGTCTTCAAATAATTGCTCTGTCACTTTCTTGTCTACATATTGCATCATACAGGACCTGAGCACTCAGAAAATGATTGGTTCTGCTGAACTAAAAGATGGTCTCTACCATCTCAAACTTGGATCTAATTGCTCTTCTTTTCATTCTTCTAACAATCTTGTTGCAAATGTTTCTAATGTACCTTCTTTACATGTTTCTGCTCACAACTCTTGTACTGATACCACTACCATATGGCATAATAGACTTCAGAATGTCAAACTTACCTATAAATGTTTCTGATCATGCAAAGTTTCATTCTATGCCTTGTGATGTTTGCCACTTTGCAAAGCAAAAGAAACTGAGTTTTCCTATAAGTACTTCTATTGCATCTGAATGCTTTGATCTCATACATTGTGACATATGGGGACTTTTTAATATAAAATCTCATGAAGGTTATACTTATTTTCTCACTATTGTTGATAATCATAGTAGAACCACTTGGATATATCATTTATCTCACAAGTATGACACCAAACATTGCATTCAGAAATTTTACACTATGATTGAAACTCAGTTCAACAAAAAGATAAAAGTCCTCAGATCTGACAATGGCACAGAGTTCATTATGCATGATTTTTATAATTCTCATGGTATCATTCATCAAAAGAGTTGTGTAGAAACACCTCAACAAAATGCTAGGGTTGAGAGAAAGCACCAACATTTACTTCAAGTTGCTAGAGCATTGTTATTTCATGCATCTTTACCTTTGTCATTCTGGATAGACTGCATCTTGGCTGCTGCACACATCATTAATAGGATTCCATCCATTGTTTACAAAACAAGTCTCCTTTTGAAATCCTATATAACAAGCAACCATCTTATGATCACCTCAAAGTGATAGGGTGTCTATGTTATGCATCCACTCTCAGTGCACATAGAATAAATTTTCTGCAAGAGCATCAAAATACATTTTTCTAGGTTATCCATTAGGTTATGAAGGCTACAAATTTTATAACTTGGAAACCAAGAGTATATTAATATCCAGAAATGTTCAGTTATATGAAAATGTCTTTCCTTTTGACTCTAAAACTTCATAAATACCTACACCTATGTTCCCTACATCAGATACAACTCATTATGCTGATATCCATAAATCTCCTTTACCTTTACATACTATACCTCTCCACAGTCTCCACAGCCTCCAAATATCTCTCCACAAACTCACAACTCACCTCAATCTCCTAGCCCCTCAACTGATTCTGAGACCTCTCAATCAACACAGTCTGAAACTCACCAACAGACAGACAACCTCAATACTTCAAACCAAACCTCTCCCATTCAACTGAGAAAATCTACTAGAACTCACAAACTTCCTGCCTATCTAGATATATACAACCTCTCTAAAACCTTCCTCCAACTTTGCCCTATCTGAACACATAATTTCTGGAACAACCTCATATCCCATTCACATTTTCTATCAACTAGTCATTTATCAAGTTCACATGCATGTTTTACTGCTGCAATTTCCAAAATTATTGAACCTACATCATATTCTCAAGCTGCCAAAGATCCCCTTTGGCAGGCTGCCATGAGAAAAGAACTTGATGCATTAGAACAAACACAAACTTGGGTTCTCACTGATTTACCAAGTGATAAGCATTGTATAGGTTGCAAATGGGTTTATAAGGTCAAATACAAATCCAATGGAACCATTGAAAGATACAACGCTAGGTTAGTAGCTAAAGGATACACACAGGAAGAAGGTATTGATTTTGATACCTTCTCCCCTGTTGCAAAAATAACCACAGTCAGGTTTTTAGTTGCTTTATCATCAATCATGAAATGACACATTCATCAACTTGATGTTAACAATGCATTTTTACATGGGGATTTAAATGAGAGAGTATATATGACCCCCCCCCCCCTAGGTTATTGTCAAAAAGGTGATCAAAGAGTATGTAAATTGCTTAAAAGTCTCTATGGTCTTAAACAAGCCTCAAGGCAATGGTTTTACAAATTGACCACATGTCTGATTTCTTATGGTTTTAAGCAATCCATATCTGACTGCTCTCTCTTTACCTTGTCTGACAATAAAGATTTCATGGCGTTACTTGTGTATGTGGATGATGTCATAATAGCTGGCAATAATTTGGCACAAATTACTGCTGTCAAGACTCATTTGGATCAGTGTTTTACTATAAAGGATTTGGGTACTTTGAAATATATTCTAGGCATTGAATTTGCTCATTCTGACAATGGTATTCAAATGTGTCAAAGAAAATATGCTTTAGATATTTTAAAAAACACTGGTTTTTTGGGCTATAAGCATGCTCTTACACCTATGGATGCCACTTTAAAACTTTCTTCAGCTGCAAATCAGAATGATCAAATTGATGCCTCTGAATATAGAAGGTTAATAGGTAGGCTTTTATACCTAACTATAACCAGACCTCATATATCATATAGTGTGCAACGTCTTAGTCAGTTTATGTCCAATCCTTCCAAATCACACTTATCTGCAACTCATAGAGTTCTCATATACATTAAAGGTACAGTGGGCAAAGGTATGTTCTTCTCCAGATCTTCTCCTTTACAATTAAAAGCATATAGTGATAGTGATTGGGGTGGCTGCCCAGACCCAAGAAAAAGTCTAACTGGATATGCTGTTTTTCTTGGTAACTCTCTCATTTCATGGAAATCTAAAAAGCAATCAACAATTAGTAGATCTTCAGTTGAGGCTGAATATAGGACACTTGCATCTACATCATGTGAAATTCAGTGGCTTTTATATTTATTTCAAGAACTGCGCTTGATCCACCCCTCCCCAGTTTCAGTTTTTCGTGACAGTAAATCAGCCATTGCAATAGCTTCAAACCCTGTGTTCCATGGAAGGACCAAGCATATTCAATTCGACTGTCATCTGATTAGAGAGAAGATTGCATCAAAGATCATTCAGCTGCAGTACATTTCCACAAAAGAGCAAGTTGCAGACAGTTTGACAAAACCATTACCTGGTCCTGCATTTTCATTCCTAGATTCCAAACTAAGCATGACTAATATTCATGTTTAGCTTGCGGGAGGATATTAGAATATAAAACGTAAATAGGTTTTATTATGTAATAGATATTTTATATGTATTCCTTTTATTATTAGGACTAACATTTGTAAAGTTGCTACGTTGTCCAACAACTCTAGTAATAAGCTCTAAGTATAAATAGAGCATTGTGTACTCTTTACCCTAATTTTTTCTCATTCATTTTTCTCCATTCTCATTACAAACCGTCCTTTCTTTTCTCGCTGTGTTGTTTTGATCTTGATGATCTGATAGTTATTTTTACTGAATTTCATTTCATTATAACAATAAAGAGTGCACGATTCAGAGAATGACACAATGTTTTGCCTTTTCAGTAGAAAAAACAAACAATACAAGAAGAGAAATTCAAATGCTAACAAAATTATATTCTCTTCTAATTATTTGAAGACTACTACAGTCAAATTCAAATACTAACCAACGCAAAGCAGACTGAACTAACGCTGCTGGTCAGCAAAATAGGAAGGCACTAATCAAAATTAAACTTGAACTAAAAGTACTCATAAAGAAATTTTATTAACAGCTCAAATAACCAAAAGAATAATAAACCAAACAAAATCTANACATAACAAAAAATGGAATGCCAGAATCGAAATTAAAACCCAATAAAATAAATAATAAATTAAATTAATCTCACCTCAAATATCAAAATCAACTCAATAATCCGGTAACCATTTCACGTAATCCATCAACGATGGAGTTATTGGGCCAGGCCCTTGAATCATCGGGCTAATCCTTGACATTGACGAACAAAATAAATCGCTAGAGCTCGGGTTTAAATACGTCACGTCCGTCAAGTATGGGCTATTATTAATCATACTATTATCATTACTTTTACTATTATCCTTCTCGTCATCATATCCGGAATTTTCATAATTGCAAACACCCCCTTTGAATATATTCTTATTATTATTGGCACAATCCTTGTTGTCCGATTGGTCATCCTCGGCCCGGTGGAGGCCCGTGAGCTTCTGGACGAGAGCCATAAAATCGTGGGCGTGCGTGTGGATAATCTTTGGGGACTTTGTGTAGATTATCACGGGCTTGGGCTTGGGCTTGGCGGGAGAGAGTGAAAGGGCGGGTAAGGAAGAGGATTTGTGGATGGCGTGAGAATGACGGTGGATTCTCAATGGGGTCGAACGAGGGCCGTTAATCAATCCGTTATCACTGCCGTCAAACTTTGGGGGGGCCCTCATGGTGTATGGCTCGAGATTTTCTTCTCACTACAAAAGGGATAAGAGTTTAACTTAATTTTGGTGGTTTTCAGTAAAAGGGCTGATTATCTGTTTAATTTGTTTAGAGGGATTAAGGAAAAGGTATTGGGCTATATTTATAGAGAGAGAGATATAGAGAGGGGGGAGTGAAGATAGGTGGGGAAGATGGAAAGGAAACAAATGCGGATGGTATTTTTAATTTTTTATTTATATTTTTTTTCATTTCAATAAAGTCTATTTTGAAGATTGAACTTACATTCAATTCATATTTCAATGTTGACCTATCAATGATAATTAATAATAGATATGCTACATTTAATTCATATTTCAAAGATTGGACTTACGATTGGGCACAACATATTTGACATAGGAGGACTTGGTTAAATGATATTATCTCATTAAATCAATGCACATATATATAAGTTAATAATAATGTTTGCCATGATAATATAAACTGACCACACATTTCCTAATCATAAATATGTAATTATGAAGCATCAAGCGAGTGTAAAATAGGTTGCTAAAATATTTTAAAGCATAAATGGAGTATAAGAAACAATATTTTAGACAGTAATATTTAGTTACCAGCAAATGGAAGGTTGGAAAGAAGTGGTGCGGTGTAAAAAGAATAGGGTTTAGCGGAAAAGGAGTTAGAGTGAATTGTGGTAATTTGCTAAATTTTAACCGACTTTTTATGGTGTTTGTTGGCGTCGGCGCAGGATTTGTAATTTTAAAGGTTAACAAATGTTCGAGAAACCATCTCTAACCAACACGTATTTGGTATTGCTGTTACTAATTTCGGGTACTTTAGTAATTAATTAAATTACTATTCGACTCTGTGACAGATGTAAATACAGTATTGTGAGTTATTTATATCCATATAATGATTAATGATTTTTCTTTCATTTTTCTGGTAGGCCAAATTTATAACTAAAAGAACTGGAATATTTATTTTTTTTTAAGTTGTGTTTATCGGATTGAATGAGACGTATATTTTGATATTTTTTTTAATTATTTTGTTATTTATTTAAAAATTTCAAATATGTTTTTTATTTTTCAAAAAAAAAAGAAAATAATTTAAATGTAACCACATTAATAACATCTAATCACATTATACGGTCAACACATTATATGGTCAACTATCAGTAATCAAAAGTTTAAAATGATTTTTGTAATTTTAGAGTGATTAGTGTGTTGATTATCTAATAATTAAATAAAAGGTTAAATAAACCAAAAGTAACAGCTTTTGGAGGGAAATGGTTATATTTCCACATAGGTAAAATTAAATAGGTTTTATTAAATGCTAACAACCATTTCTAACCAACTCAAATTGTTAGTCTTTCTATACATTTTAAGCTAAAATTTTAGTTCAAGTACAAGAGTTTTGACATTGTCGTTTATTTTCTGTTTTCTGTCTTTTGTGTGTGCGTGTTTGTTTTCCACTTTTCGCCACTTTGTTTGACGAGGAAAGTCAGATGTTCAGTTCCGCAAAAGCCTGAAGTTGATGATAGATTTTTAGGTCGGGGATGAATAAATCTTATCCAATTATCTGCTTTAAAGTGGTCTCATGGGTTTAAATAGGTATAGAACCTTCTTCCCACAATGGTCTAGGAAAGACAAATATTTGCTTCAACTGTTAAACATCATTGCATTATCTCATTTGTCTTTGATCAATTTATCTAGAGAAAATTACACTCCTTACATTTAGAGTTACACTTTTTTTTTTTTTTTAAAATTACGGATGACAAACTTTATTTTTAATAAAACCACTAATTATTAAAATTACGGTTTTGTTATGAAGCCATCAGATGACTCGGCTTATGGAGTCATCCATAGTTATCCACAAATAGTGTATTGACACGTGTCCTGCAATAAATACGCATTGGACACATGTCAATACATAAAGTTATGAATGACTCCATAAGGGAGCCATCCGATGACTCCATTGTCCACTAATTATTAAAATTAAGACTAATTATGCTAATTTAAAATAATAAATTTTAGTTACCAAAAAATTGAATAATTAATTAGTGGCAAATATCTCGGATGGTGTAAATTATCTTTTCTATAATCTCTAACAAAAGCCTTCTATAAGTTTTATCCTTCAAAAAATTATATCTCTCTCCCCAAATCTATATATATTGAAAGAGATAGATGGAATAATTTAAATAGTAACTTTGACTTTGTAATTAAACAGGTCGACGTACTATTAAGGAAAATATAATAAAAATTAAATAATATTTATAAAAAAAAAATCAAATTATACCTACCAATTGTAAATTGTGGAATTCGGTTAATAGCACGAGTTTCTATAGAAAGAAAGTTGCATCAATATTAAAAAAATGCAATAATTATCGCAATAAAAAATTAATTCTTCATATTAATTAATTACGAATCACTTTATTTTCTTATTCTTTTAGTAACTAACTGTACAACATACCTTAAAAAAACATCTATTAAATAGATTTTATTTTAAAAAATATTATTTGAATATGCACGATAAAAGTACAAATATAGTTACAAAATAAAAATTAAAAATCAAATATAAGAGTTTTATTATAATATATATCGCAATGTTGCAATAAAATCTTATTTAACAATACTATTAACAAATCACAGTGATTCTTATTTATTTGGTAACTAACTTTATACCAAAACATTTTTTTATCTTGTATTCAAACATCACTTAATCAAGATGATTAGTTTAGAATCATTTGGTTTATCAATAACTCAACCTATTTAGTTTTCCAAAATTTGTAAAAGTTATTTTCCATAATATCGAAAGAAATTTAACTATTTATCTTCAATAACAAATCAATCTTTATCCTTAATAAAAAATCATGCGTTCTCCTATTTTGTTGGGCATCTAGTCATACGTAGACCGAAATATGCGTAAGAACATTGCAAATTATTAGTGCAAAATAAATTTAGAAATCAACTGCAAAAATCTTAGTGATATATATAATTATCACAATACTACAATAGAATCGATATCTCAACATTAACAACAAATCCCTCTAATTTTCTTTTCACTGGTAACGTGCCATATACAAAAAATTATATATTCAAAGAGTTAAAAAATAGCTTTGATTTTATCAATAACTGCATCGAACCATTTTTTAAAAAATTCATATTGCGATTCACATTATCATGATAAATACCATATATATTAGATTAGAAAAAAATTTAAAGTATTTATAATCCACACTATTATAAATTATAATAAAAAATAAAATAATATTAATGTAATAAAAATTAATAATTTTTTTTTACTTCATAATCATATGTATAACACTATTTTTCAATTTAGTGTTGATTATAATATTTGCCACAAATTTTCAACTTTAGCATAACTTAATTAAAACTCAAAATAATATATTGTAATACGGTATGAGAAAAGGAAGATAGAGAGAGAAATATTTTCTGCATATTGGTTTTTGATCATATGAATATGTTAATTTTCAGTATCCTTAATTATAAACATGAACTCTAAAATGACAACTATTTTATAACGAGTGAAATAAACATATAACTCATATGTTAAATTATTATATCATAAAATAAAAGAAGAAAAGATAATATCAATATTAAAAAAAATCATCTAATCAATATTACTTCATTGTTTTAATACATGCGATTTCTAGTAATTGCTCTGTGCATCGCACGAGCTATGTACTAGTCTTAATCTCATAATATATCTCTGCAAAATATTTTGAAATTTGCATCTGATGCGGATCCATTTTTCACCATTTTCATCTGCTGCAAAAGTGACCAAAATTATTCAACATTGAAGATATCCCAGAAACCCTAAAATTTCTTTGCACATGGTTTGTCAATGTCCAAAAAAAGGCCATATCCTGTGAATCCGAACAATGGTAATGGTGAAGAGAGATTAAGTCGTTCGAGAGCTCGTGCGACAACCTCAATCAAGTGGTCAAATTGAGAATTATCCAAAAAAAAAGTTGCAATCCCTAAAGGTGTTAGGATATGCTGTAAAAGCTTGACTTTCAGATATTGACAATGAAATTTTGATCTAGCAATCGTGTTTTAATCAAAGTATTTATGTTTCCAGTTTATTTATTCATGCAATCATAACTCCTTTATTTTACATTATAGATAGTATGGTTCGTTGTATCGAACAGAAAGATCATACTATCAGTTCCTTGTAAAATATAAACTAATTGTTCACAGTTTAGACATGCAGTGAGACCCTTGTTGGAAAAGACTGTAGTGTAAGTCTTGATTCGGTTGATCTTTGACTGATGGGTTACACTATTACTTATGATAAGTATATAGAACAAGACTGCAGAATGATAAGATTATAAGATTTACTGATCGCACTTATAATCTAGACCCTCAGTAATTGATGTGACTCTTAAGCTGTAAGATAATATAAAATGGGTATATATATTCATTACTTGTTTATTTGATTTACCATGGGTGATTCCTATTCTGTTAGGATGACATACTCGGTATTTTGATAAATGAGGGTGTTTATATGATCTGCTGTTATAAATTACTTACGGTCACTATGTCGTTGATGACGACATCCCCGAAATGAGCTCAGGAAGAAATATTATGTCAAGCCCTACAGGCGGATGTATATCTGACATAATGATTAAGGATCTGAGTGGTACTAGTTTCGAAAATGAATAAAAAGTTGATTAATTATTTTTTCAGTAATTTAATTAATCAACGAACGTTACATCTTAAACATATGGAGGTAAATCGATCAATTAGATTAATATTTCTTAATCAAGTGGATGTTCGAATTGACTGAATAAATTGGAGCTAAATGGGGAGAGCAATAATATTACTCTAGTGGTATGTTTTATTATTTAATTCTACTTAGGAATTAAGAATTAATTATATTTCATAATTAAGATTCCCTAAGGAGAGGAATATCCCTTCTATAATATTACCTAGGGTTTGGAGACTATGTAGTCTTCTAGAAGGTAATTCGAGTTAGGAGGAATATTATT